GCGGAGGGAGAAGGGGGAAGGGGGGGGGGCGGCCCGCCGTGCCAAGACCGGCGAATAGATTGCGCCGTCCCATTTCCACACAGAGAGCCTCTCTGGCCAACGCTCACCTGAACGGTTGGCAATAAAACGCCAGTTCCCATTTTTGTCCTTGTTGAATTTCGACGACTGATTGGTACCCCAGAGTCGCTGGGCGTGGGCGGTGCGGCCTGAGCGCCCCTCCCGGCGCATCACGTACAGAGTTGCTACTTAGCTTCATGTCTCTTGTCCCTCGCAGTACAGACTCGTGTCACATTGGTGGCGTGGCGTGGCGCCGGGGACTGCACCGGGGCCGCCGGGGAGTAGAAGGAGACCCCTGGTCCGCTCCGCAGGCCCAGGGCTCCGGGAGCAGCGGGGCGGGGAGGCGGGGGGCGGGCGCGCGGAGCGGACTGGAGGGGGCGGAGCGGGCCGCCTCGCCCCGCCACGCCCCTCCATGGCGGCAGGGGTTGCTCTGCAGGGGCTGCTCGACGGCCGCCACGCGACAGTCGTCCTCGAGCCGCGGAGCCGGCAGCAGCCCCGCGAAACATCCCCCCCTCCCCTCCCCGCGGGCTGCCATATACTCTCGTCAGGAACACCACCGAGCCAACCCCGAACGCAGGTCGACGTTGAAGAGAACGACACGCCGCCGGTCAACTTCCGAAAGCACCCCGTCAACGACGCCAGCGCGCAGGAGGGGAGGCCACCACGCCGGAGCGGTGCGGCGCACGGCGGCGATGCCGCGGCTCCGGACAACAACGCCGCCCCTGCGAGGCGCGGTGACGCTGCCGGCGGGCCCACCCGGGCCGCGGCTGGGAGGCCGCAGGTGAGTGCGAAGGAGAGGTTGGGGTGGCAAAAGAGTGCCATGGTATTGTCAAGCGAAGAGCGCGAGTGAGTGCCAAAGGGGATCGCCAGAGACTGCCGATGGGAATGCCAAGGGTCTCGCCAAGGGTAGAACGTTAGTGAGTGCTTGTCGTGTCAAGGTCGCAAACGAGTGCCTTGAAAGGGACGCGAGTCCCAAGGACAGGTCGCAAGCGGTTGATATGAGAAGGACGCAAGTGCCAAGGAGAAGTGTCAAAGAGAGTGGCACGAGAAGGGCGTGACGATGAGTGCCCTCTGGAGGAAGTCGCAAGGGCGTCGTAACGGGACGGAACGCGTAACGGAAACGAAGGAAACCAAAAATAAAATTGCAGTATGAACGCGTTATTGAATCGTTTCCAGCTGAGGGCGTTTCAGTTGAGGAAACATGAGAAAATTTCCGAAAACGCTTCAATATTACAATTTTCATTTTGTTTTTATGCGTTTTCCTTACACGATGCGCTACAACGACGCCCTGGAAAGGAGTGACAAAGCGTGTCAAAGAGAAGGACTCTAAAGGAGTGCCAAGGGGAGAAGGCATGTAAATTCCAAAGGGAAGGCGCCCGGGCGAAGGGGAGTCGAGTCGTCCTGTGATGAAAATGGATACTGATCGTCCGCACGAATTCAAGGAGTATCCTGTATGCTATTGCTGTCTCTCTCGCTCATCTCTGCTATCCAAGGGAGGCGAAGGCAGACATACCGGGATCGGGGCTAGTTTGTGCGATCGAGTCCACCTAAGCTGTCCGCCGGTGGCCTGTTGCTCGCCCAACCAAGCCCAGCCCAGTCCTGCTGCGCCCCGCCCCGCCCCACCACGCCACATCCTGCAGCCGTACCTCTCCGCGTCCCAGCCCCGGAGAAACACGCTCACCGGCACGTGCCGGCCGATTACGACCCGCTATCGGTAAGAAAAACTTTGGCGCGCTAGGTGCGGACAAATTGCCCGGAGAAATCACAGCCGCCAAGTAGTTGAGTCATATTTTTGGCGCCACCTCCTCCAGCCGCCCTGACATTGAGAGCGACATTTGCGAAAAATTCGTTCGCCAGCCGCCCCAAAATTTACGATTATTGTACTTAGTACTCACACTACCGTGATTTTTTTGCCCGCGATCCGCTGATCCTTATTCCGGTACGAAACGGCCGCTACAAAACTAAATGATGGCGCTTTGTCGGTGTCGATAATTTCGGTGTTCGTTAAGGCAAGTGGATACAGCCTGACGCACCACACCAGCGTCGCACTGTCGACTCGGGAGGAACGGGGCGGGGTAGGGTGGGGCGGGGCGGGGTGGCAGGGCGACGTTACGGCCTGCGGGTCGGGCCGGGGCAGGAAGGGCGCCCCGCCGCGCGCACCGGTGTCCCGCTGGTCCCGACAACTCCACTATCATTTCCAGTTGGAGGGTTTGATGGCCTGGTCGGACCGGGACCGGAGGACGCTGCCAAGGGCCGGTGTCCAGGGCCCCCGGGTCGCCCGCCAAGGCCACGACAGTTGTACTCTACCCCCTGCCTGGGCACAGCTGCCTGCTGGGGGGCTTCACCTGGCGGCCGGGGATCAGACAATCAAAGCAAAGGGGGCCTTCGGCTTGAGCATCGAGTTTGGCATTAATTAAGCTCAGATTGACATTTCGACCGTTAATAATACAGAGCATATCGCATCAAAAACGACCACCAGACGAGAGAGATCCCCTGGACACACTCACAGAAAGGGGATTAAGGTAGGTGTATTGTAAATGCCCAATTTTATTCAAACTCGGTATTAGTGCCGATAATTTCAAAAAGGTTAATGTCTTTCTCGAAACTTTTTCCATAATACGCACAATAGCACAAATTTTCACGTAAAAAAAGAATAAGCTAAATTAGCTAATGCATTCACTAATATGGCCTTAGATCAGAATATTAGCTCTCCTAGCTAATTCTTAGCTAGGAGAGCTAATAAATTAGCCATGACAGTTGTCTACAAAATAAAGCAACTAGCTGTGAAAGCTAATATTTTAACATCCTAAGCTGGGAATTTGCTAGGAAAGCTAATTTCTAATCTAAGG